ACCTTTTCCCCCCATAGATTCCCCACGAGCCCCCTGTCCACCCCTGGAGTCATACAGAAGGGTCTGGAGATGTCCCAGAGGTGTCTTGGGGTCCCCAGGAGGTCCCCAGGGGTTCCTGGAGTCCTCCAGAGGTCTCCAATGAGGATTTTGAGGACAACCTCACACAGCAACATGTTCTCACTCTGCTTTGTCCCCCTGGGATCGCTCTCAATAATGTCTGTTTCTATTAAAATCAATACTACGTCCTTTTTTTTTTTTTTTTTTTTTTCCAGAAATGGATGGTTCTCACCAAATCCCTGTGCAAAGCCCCACGGAAACAACGCCCCCCAGGGCCACCGGGCGTCACCGGGACAACCGCCGGCGGTGCCACCACCAGGACAACCGCCTGTCCCTGCAGTTCTCGCTGTCACCGTGGAACCTGGGCCGTAGCAGCGAACCTTGAAGCCCCGTCAGTGTCCTACAGCTCCTGGACGCTGTCACCCTGGCTGCCCATGACTGTCCCACACTGTCCCCCCTGCCATGGTGGCACAGGGCAGCGTGGTGCCATCCTCATTGAAGAGGTGACAAGGAGGGGTACAGGGAGGGGGTTGGGGACAGTCGAGGACACGTGGGGTCTGGTGCGGGTGTGACATGGGGTCACTGGTGTCACCTTCCCTGGATGTAGTTGGGTGTCACTGAGTGTCACTGTCTTCAGGTGACACCGTGACACAGGGTGACCTCGATGCGCAGCAGCCGTGACGCAGTGTCCCCATCCCTGGCTGTCACTCTTGTTACCGTCATCTGGTGTCACCACCACCTGTGTGTCACCATCTCTCGGGTGACACCATTCCCTGCGCTATGACCACCACATGGGGGCAGGCACAGGCAGCCCCGCGTTGTCCCCGTGCTGTCACTGAGCCTCTCGCTGTCCTTTCTCACCCCTGCAGCCCTGCCTGCAGCCGGACCCGCTGACACCGGAGCCCTCTGCCGCTGTCACCATTGTCTGCCACGAGGATGGGGACGCACAGTGATGAACTAGGTGCCACCACAGCCAGCGTCAGGTGTCACCGTCATGCGGAGGGGACAAAAGGACCCCCTGGGGACCTGCCGAAAACTTCACCATACCTGGGCTTTCAAACGAGTCCTCCTGTATCGCTTCTCTTACGCCCAGCTCACGAATGTAATTCTGAAGGTCTTCCACGGAGGGCCACAGTCCTGTGCTTAATGATTTGTTCGGCCAAACCACGTGGATGCTGCCATTCACCAGTCTGTTATCGACTGGTTCTCACTGCTCTATGAACAGGAGCACACAGCCTCTGCCTGATGGCAGGGTGTCTCGCTCCAATTTGCAGGAGGGAGAGGAGGTTCTTTTATTATCTGTATACCCAGCGTGAGATTAAGAAGCAACGGTTCAAATGTTGGTCCAACCAGTTTATTACAAATCTTAATTAGGGAAATAGGGAAGGGGAGGATGGACACTATTATGAATTAGGGTAATGGGGGAAGGGAAGGAGGGCGATAGAAAAGATAGAAAAGAAGAAGCAAGGAGTCTTTGTAGGCAGCAAGAGGGACATAGTCACCACCATGGATCCAGCGTGGTTCGTAGTTCCGTCTTTGATCCTCAGTAGTGGTGGGTCGTCAGGCATTGTTGTTCTGTTGACAACACGACCACGACCATGGTGATGATGGCCCTTTTTTCTATGCTTCAAAGTGGTTGAGTCAGCTGTTTTTGGAGTGACAGCTCAAATCCAACGTGGTCGAGTCAGCTTTCCTTTGAGTGACAGCTCAAACCCAAGGTGGTTGAGTCAGTTCTCCTTGCGGTGGCAGCTTCTGGCTCTGGGATCTCAGCAGGAACCTCCTTTGTTCTTATCTTTCTGGCCTTGCTAGCAGATAAGAGGAAGCAGGGAGGCACCAACTTGCATCTTGCCTTCGCAGGATACAATGGTATCATCCCCCAGCCTTCCATACTTAGCTGGAGCGGTTTGGCCACAGGCCAGATCTTCCGCCAGTGAACACTGCTGAGCACTCTCTTCCGCTCTTCTACAGAGCAAGCAGCTCTGGGGGAAGGGGCTTGCAAGTGTTCCCAAAGCGATATCGATTGTCACACAGTTAGCACCCATCACTTGCCTCCTTGACAAGTCACCCAGAGTCTTATCACAAAGAAAACCTCAGGAAGCAAGCTTTGAGCCAAAAAAAAAAAACCAAAGAAGGATTCTCACACAGGGTTACCGTCATGGTGGCCAGTTTGATACCTCTGGCCCGTTCACCATGTCACCTTCTGCCCCTGAGTCCCATAATCTACAAACCACGTGGGCACACTCTCTTTCTCTGCCGAAATGCTGCAGCACATCCATCAGTTCTGTTGGTGCACGGCCTCGCCACCACGTGTGTATGCGTTTGGGCAGGGGGCACCCCGCCGGTCTGCCTTGTACTTCCCTTGTCTTCTGGGTTATAATGGGACGGGGTTCCAAGGAATCTGCCCCAAGTGGAGCCTCTAAATCTGACCTAGAGTTTTTGTTTTCCTGTACAACCAGGTCCGTCCCTTCAGAGCTGTGGTTATGATCTACTGAAATGCTGCGGACCTGGCCTATCGGGGAACGTCAAGCTGGTCTTTCCCCTGTGAATACATTAAGATCCTGTTCCAGTTTCTCAGTGCAATCTTTTAATAGCTGATTTTCACTTTCTAAGGTGTCAGCTCTTATCTCAGCTTGATTTAAAGCATTTAACTGTGGAGGCAGCTAACTGCCTTTCTTCTGTACTTAGAATGTCTCTGTGTAATCCTTGAAAGTGTTTCATCATGTGGAATGGGGAAATGTTCCCCATAGCGTGCAGGGGATCCCATTTCTCAACTCTGATGCTAATTGGTAATCAGGAGAACCCAAGAACCCTGGGATCGTTTTACCCAAGGGGTGATGTTCTCCCCCCGACCCATTTGTAGAAATTCCACAGAAAGGACATGATGTAAATTTTAGTATATTTGACCTGCCTGGCTCACCAAGCGTACAATCAATGAATGCACAGATGTGATAATTATGAAATACAGCAGAGAGTTTGGCTGAGCAGCTGTTAGAGCAAAAGAGAATAGACGGGGTGCTCACCCGTATCCTGGGCTCACTATGAAACTCCAGATGAGGGATCTGCAGGAGACCCTTCCCCACTGGCAGTCAGCTCTTATTGGGTCTGGGGGAGGTGCAGCCAGGCTCCCCCCCTTCCAGCAGCACAGCAAATCGCCTTCACTGCGCTGATGGCAGATTTCTGGAGGCTAAGAGTGAACTGGAGCTGGATCTGGATGGAACAAATGAGGGTGAATGTCACCTGCAAAGGCAGGGAATTGCCCGAGACAAGGACAAGGGCCTGATCAGGGAGGAGCTCTCACGTGACACACGGACATCCCCGGTGCCGGGTGTCAAATTTCCCACCAGCTGCCAAAGATTCAGCTTTTGGCTGCTGAGCAAATATGAACCACAGATGGTGACACCATGTTTTCACATTGACTTCAGCAATTCTGGGCATTCGTGAAATTGAACAACACAGCTCATAATTGATAAAAAGGAGGAGGAAGGAAAGGTGAGATTCATAAGGTTTGTGCCGAGTCTTTTTCTGCATGGCAGCCTTCAAGAGTGACACATGGTTAATATGCCAGCAATTCAGTGAGAACTCATCAGCTCCCTGAGGTACCCTTCAAAATTCTTAGTTTTCACACTGAAGTCTTAGCTCTGCTGTCCCTGACATCAATTTAAACTCTCTCTCTCTCAAAAAAAAAAAAAAAAAAATACAGCAGGAATGGTCTGTTGAAATTCAGTAGAGCAAAGGCCACCTGCAGCCCTGCATCACAGCCCCTGGATTTCTCCCTGAGCTCATCCACATTCTGCTCACACTTCACCTTGACTCTGATCAGCAAGGAAATATGAAAAACAGAATGCAAACATGGCCAACTTCTACCAGTTCAAATCTGCTTCAAGACTCACTGCAAAATCTCAGCTAGAAAAAGTATCACCTCAATGTATCCACGAAAAACAACAGTGTTGTTAGTTAGTTTTTTAAATATTTTTTAATATACAATAACAGCATGCAGTCGCACTGCCAGTCATCTCAGATCGAACCAGGAGGAGCTCATCCACATCCTGCTCACACTTCACTCGAACGTCAAGTGGAGCAGGGGGTCGTCTTGCAGATGGAGTGAGGCAAGAATTGCGACAGGATGTTGCTGCATTATGGACTCTTTGCATCGACACAATCATCCGTATCCAGCAGGAGATCACAGAGCTCTGGAGGCATCGTTGTGTCCAGCTCATTATCTGAAACCTCTGTCACCAGGCTGGAAGGGACCAGCCCTCTCGTGCCATCCGTCAGCTCTCCCAGAAACCAGCCGTCCTCATCCACATCTCCAAAGACATAAACGTGCTGCCCGGCGGTTAGAGGAAGCTCGCTTTCTGGGTCCTCATTGGGACCCTCAAAAGGATCGTAGCTGTGGCGAGCTAAGAACCTTCGAACTACTGGTAATACTCGTCCCGGGGAACGGAGGGTGAAGGACAAACACTCTGCCGCTGATCCTCTGCTCTCACTTTCAAGGCCGTCCTCTGACAGAAAGCAGCACTCACCACTGTCCCCATGGACCTCTTTCATGGCTTGGAGTTCACGTTCCAGGTCTTTAAGATGAGTTTGAAGATCTTTGGCCTCTGGGATGGCAGAACGGAACGGACTGGAACTATTGCTGAGATTGTTTGCTTGGGCAAGGATCTCGCTCGTTGCCTCTCCCAGCTCCGCTCTCCCTTCATCTCCACTTGGAACTCCCTCCCAGTCGGTGTCAGGATGAGCTCGTTCTGCTGCTCTCTCTCCCCCCTTGCACACACTGTGAAAATGAGTTTCAGAAAGCACTACTCACTGACAGGAAATAAGGGCAAACTTAGAAGACCTTGCAGCATAAATCCTGGCAGTGTACTGCCAGCAGCTGATCTGGCTGCCCAGGATCCTGGCACCACAAATGCTTCATTGCCAAATGCAGCAATGAAGTGTTTGGGGGAGAAAGACAACTCACAGGCATTTTTTCCACGGCCATGACACAGCAACGCAGGCCAGCACCAGCGCAGACAGCAGCACAGCTGAGAACAGCACCACCACTGCCACGTGGCGCTGCCGCACAGATCTGCCAGCAGCAGCCTTTGTGCTTCCCTGCATCCTTTGCTGCTTCCCTGCATTCCTCCCTGGAAGAAACAACAACGTCCCACCTTACCTTCACCTCATCACCCTCGGGCGGCTTCGTTCCCAAAAGGACAAAGCTCACAGCCCTCTGGGAACCGGGAGCGGTGAGAGGTGAGCAGCATCACACAGGCTTCTGTGGCACATGTGGAACACCGCTGCAGCACGGCTCTGAGCAATGCCCTGCTGCTGTGCAGGCTGCACACGGACATCAGACCTCAGCTTCCCGAGTCTCACAGTGAACAGACTGAAGTACACCCACCATGAACTGCCACTTCCGTTCCCCTCAGCAGTTCTTTTGGATGGTAAGACTCCTCAGAGAATTTTCCTCTTTCCGATTCATCCTTTCCCCTTTCCAGACCTGCACGGAACGCATGAAGTTAAATGCCACGAGCATGAGGTTTTGAAGACCACTGCTGAGTCAGCGCCATCGGTAAAACAAACCACCACCCCTGGGCATCCACCTGGGCTCCAGCGCAGGAACGAACCAGCGACTGAGCAAAGCCCTCCCTGGGGCACTTCTGCAACCCATGAAAAGTTTCAGTCATGCACAGCAGCATCGCTAAACAGCGGAGCGTACGGGGGAAGCAGTGCCATGAAGTGGCACCGAAGCGGGCAGTGAGAGCTCTCCAAGGAATTACAGAGCCGTGACTTACCCATGCCATCCGCCCGGCTTTCGGTCTCGGAGCTCAGAGGGGAAGCTGGATCACCTCCTCCACTCACATCTGCAAACAAACGCAGCACAGAGCAGCTCTAATTAAACATCCTCCCAATAGGAACGATGCAGGACGCAATTAAAGCAGGGGATTCCTTCGTGACACTGCTCTCTCCCTTCCACACAGGAGCACCTCGGGAGCAGTTCCCAGGTACGTGCAGGGGCACCACGATCCTACAGAACTTGCACCGCGTGGGGCTGCCCAGAGGAACGCCCTCCTGGAGCTCAGCCCTCAGCTCGACTGCGTGGTGCCCGCTGGCTCTGCACAAGCCTGACCCATATCTTCCCTTCTCTTCCACAGAGAAAGCAGGAAAGAAAATTAAAACCTGAATGAAAACTAAAACCTCTCAGGGACTCAGCTGTGGGATCGCCCCGCGTCTCAGGGACCGGATTGAAGCTGGGCTTTGTCAGCCGCTGCCTGGAGACACGGCTGGAATCCAGGACAGCTGAGAGACGTTCCCATGGCATGTGCCCACCTCTCTTCCTTACTGACCTGCAGTGATGGAAGGGGCTCAATTAATGGCATGGGGCAAAAGTTCCAAAGCTGCAGAGAGGCCCGGTGACCTGACGGCTGGTATTCCACAGCTTTCAAAATACTTCCTCCAGGCCACGGGAAATAATTCTCAGAGAACTCACAGAACAGCATTCAGCTGCTTCCAATTGTTTCACTGCGAGACCTCTGAGATACAGAGGCAAAGCCAACACGACGCCGAGAGCACCCAGGAAACAACAACACCCCATGCTTCCCATGGAGAAGAACCCACTGGCTGGTGAAAAGCAGAACCCTTGCTGAACTATCAGCCACACATGAACAAATATCAAGGGAATGAAGCCTGGTGACTTACCTCCAGCATTCCCCTCAGGCTCACGGACAGGATCCCGTTCTGCTGATTCGCCAGCAGGGCCTGCAGGCACAAGTGTGGTCACACAGGTGAGGAGAGCTTCCAGTGCACGTGGGGGCCTCCTTTGTAACACTGGCAGACCTGTGAGGTCTGGCGGTGGGTCAGGGAATGGCACGGCCCAAATACGAAGCTCTGGGCTCTCTCAGCTGAAGAGGGGCAGCGGTGACCTTCCCACCCAAATGTGGCAGCTCTCCCAGCAAAGAAACACTCAAGGTTCATCTGTGCAAGCCCTTCAAGGCACAGACTTAGAAGACCTTGAGAGGATCCTACGTAAAATCGCACCTGAGTAAACTATGAGGGCATGAATGTTTCTGCCTTCAAGGAAACAGACACAACTTACCTCTGGGTTGTCCCTCAGGCACAGGCATGAAATGTGGATCCAGGCGATCATCCAGATAGAGAGCACCGAGCTCATCATCTAGAATCAAGAACAGATGAGAGAAGGTCCCACTGCACGGCGTGATCTCCTTCCCCCACAGTAACTGGATGTGGGTTGTGGGACGGGCTGGCAGAAGGACTCGGGTCCTGATTTCCAAAGCTGCAGAGCGGCCAGGATGAGCTGCAGGCTGGCACCTGGCAGGGCACACAAGGCTCCCTCCAGGCCACGTGCCGCATCCCTCACGGACCGCACGGAAGAAGATGCAGCCCCTCGGGGCTTTCTTACTGGGAGGGCTCTGATGCACACAAAGGAAGGCTGCCCTGAAGCCCTGGAGGAAAGCACATCTGTCTCCTCCTCTGGGTTGTGGGCCGGGGCTGTGTTGGAAACTGGGACTCATCTATGGGGCGTACCACAAGGCTGGGCCAGAAAACGCTCACACATCTCCCAGCATGCATCTTCTGAGCTCTCCCCAGGACGCCTCCCTCCCAGGATGAAGGCTGTGCTCCAGCCAGCAAGGAGCAGAGCCACGGCCCAGCATGCTGGAGCCAGGCCTGGGGAGCAGCGCTGCCACGGGCTCCTGCCCGGCTCCTGCGGTGCTGCTCATCACCCCCTGCCCAACACCCCCCACACCCCCCCTGGAAGGCAGGCCCCAGGGAAGAACGGCACAGGGCCGTGGGGATGCAGCCTGACTTCTTGCCCCCAGCGCTGCTCAGGTTTGGTCCCATCTCTGCCCACCCACCTGCTCCCGGTGCTCGCCACGGAGCAGCGCACGTCTCCCAGAAACACACGGCCATCAGGAGGAAGAGGAAGACAAGGCGGGCAGGGGCCATGGCCCCCCACACTCGCACCATGCTTCCACCACCGCCGCTACAGCCACAGTGAGTCGCACAGAGCGATGCCTGCGGCACGGCGTCACAGCCAGGCCTTGTGAGCTCAGCACAGCACCGCAGAGCACGGGGCATTGCAACCTCACGGCTCTGTGATGCCAGGCGGAGGCTCCCCGCGGGCTGCTCCGACTGTGATGCACTGCACCAGGGCAGGGGATTGTATCACAGGAACGCAGAACAGCGGAATGGGTTGGGTTGGAAGGGACCGTACAGAACCTAGAAGCTCAACCCCGATGCCCTGGGCAGGGATGCCACCCACTGGGTCATGCTGCCCAGCCTGGCCTTGAACAGCTCCAGCGATGGAGCATCCATAGCTTCACTTGGCAAACTTTTACAGTAACACCACGAGGGCATTATTTGCAGTTCGGTGCCCCTGTGACACCGCGGGCCATTGAGAAAGAGATGCAACATGGAAATGGGGTCTGGATCAAGGATGCTATAGCACAAGTTATCCACACGCGTGCAATTTGCTGCAATTAAGCGTGCCAAGTGGGTAAAGCCTCTCCAGTGTGGAGGATGATGGCTGAAATATAAACACAGGGAGGCTGACCTTCCCACAAACCCGCCAAGTCAAGCACCGTGTGCTTTCCTTTTTGTTGGTACATCTGCAGTTTCATCCGTTTTCCTCCAGTTTTCCAGGACCTTGGCTAAGGACATCCCCTTCCTACACCAGATATATTTCCCATTTTTAGCGTGCTTCCAAGCCTGAATTGAGGAGTGGAAACTGAAGACTCGCTGGTTAGCACCTCCCATCCCCAAAGTCCCAGTGAACTCACCCACTGCTGGCAGCCGGACGCTTTGGGGCAGGGGGTCTGATGGCCAGCACCTGTAGGGTCCCACCCTGGGAGGAAGTAGAAAGAAAGAAAGGAGAGGAGAGGAAGAGAGGAGGTCAGAACAAACTGAGTTACTGAGAAAAGAAACAAAAGGAAGATGAATAATTCTTAAGTTCTACTCAAGTAAAATTCTCCTTAAGACAGATTTCTTTTTGCAGCATTCGTATCCTAGACAATTTAGCAATATTCAGGAGCATTTTCAGTACGTTTTTGTAAGGTCTGCTTCATCCGAGCTGCTCTAAAATACCCAACAGGTGTCAAGGGGGGATCAGTCCTTAAAGGCACTCAGAAAATCCCACTGTTTGTGTCCAACATTGACAAGTTTACCTTCATGAAGGTGTAGAGAGACTCCTATGTGGTCAGGAATTCTCTTCTGATATCCAGCACATCCATTTCGGAGTGGGACACCATCGCTCTGATCACAGTGCTGTCGCCTGTTCCCAGGCCCCGGAAAGCAAAGCAGCCACGTGCAGCCAACACAGAACTGCTGGAGAATCACCCGCAGACACAAAGGTCTCAGGGCCCAGTCCCGTGCAGGAGCTGCTCTTCATTACAGCATTCTTGCATTCACGGAGCAATCCATGAGCAGCAGCTTGCTCCTGAGTATGGCTGTTACCCTGATGTGCAGAAAAGCCTGATCTGTCCTGGAACAGCCAGTTTCCTGAGTGGCTGCAGCTCCCATCTCATGACTGCCAAGGTGCTGCTGGCTGACTCGAGCACGGAAATGCAAGAAAGAAGCAAGCAATCTTACTCCACAATCTGTTTACCTTCGTGGGTTTACACAGCCTTTCAGCAAAGCACGCAGGCTCGTTTCGCACGCACTGTGCTGTAAGGAGAGACAAGAACAAGAGGATTAAGGCCAGTAAAAGCAGGAGGTTTTCCACACTGCTGCAGCACTTTCTTGGTGCAGCTGTTTCTTCTGTCAAGATGCAACTCCAGGTGAACAAACAGCAGCTGCAGTGCAGGCATGCAGTCAGTGATGTGCTGTGAGCTGATGTCTCTGTGCCTGGCAGCACAGCAGCACAGCAGGATTTGCACAAAGGCCTTCATGTCTCCTGACAGCAAACCTCTGCTGCCAAAGCTCCTTTTGGCCAAGCACACCATGCCATAAAGCACAAAGCTTTCTCACCTGACTGTGAAGCACAGAATCATAGAGTGGTTTGGGTTGGAGGGGACCCCTACGATCATCGAGTTCCAACCCCCCTGCAGTAGGCAGGGACACCCCCCTCTACACCAGGGCGCTCCAAGTCCCACCCAGCCTGGCTTTGTGCCCACAAACAAAGACAAACCACGACTGCCTCCTGAAAGCACGTAACAGCCGCTCGAGGGAAGACACAGCACCTCTCATCGTTTCATTGCTTTGTAGAGAAGGTTTAAAAGCAGGGCACTCACCCACAGCCAGCAAAGCACCTTCCAGGTCTCCTGACATCTCAGATTTAACGCTGTCTGTTATGTCCTTGTCAGCAGTGCCTCTGTACCATCAAAAACTAGGGGGAAGAATCCATGGCAGAAAGTCAGAGAGATTCAAAGGACCACTTTGCAACAACGAGCTCCTCATGTACTGCATGAACATTCTATCATTCCTGCAGCACTGTCAGCTACATCAGGATCCTCCCACAGAAATAATTCATTTTCACTGCTAACAGTCTTGCTAATTGGCCTAGCACAGCTATTACCATTTTCAAGACCTGCTGCTTTGCGCTGCCAATAAGTTTTTAGCTCCTCTCCCCTCTACCCCAATGGCGGTCACAAGAACACACACAGCATCTGTTATGAGCAGGGCCACCACCTGGGTGCTGCCCACAACATTTACCAGCCATAACCTGCTAAGTGCAGAACTGGGCCCAGAGCTCTCAGCATCACTGCAGCGCTCCAGCCATCATCACCAGTGCTGCAGCCTCCAATTAAGAAGCGCAGACAGCAAGAAACTGGCAAGAGAGCCACACGTCCCCCGACAGACAGAATGCTCCTCCCCATTTCAGTTACACCAGTTCAGTTCCTGGTGAAATTCCAGTCTAGCTTCTCTCAGCACAAACAGCAACACCCAGGTTGGCCAGTTTGTCACACCTAAAGCTCCCCAGACTCTTCCTCTTCACATCTGCCTGCACACACACACACTGACTGTCAGACAGCAGGACAAGGCCTGGCCTTTTGCTCTACTTACGAAGCTTGCAGTTCTCATCAAAGCAACGAATCTCTTCATTGCTGGGAGAAGCCACAGTTTCCATCAGCAACCTTCATCTGTTCCTGCTCCCTAGGGAATCGCCAAGGCAAGGTTTCAGATACCAGCAACTGCTCGTGACGTGCAACCAGGTTTCTTTAGGAGTTTAATCCATAAGAAGACGTACACAGCAAAGCAGGAAGTCCTTGGCCAGAACTTAAGCCATACGAAAGGAAGACTTCCAAGCCTTCACCGCCCTCCTTAGTTCTGCATGCCATACATGGTGCTGGCAGTCATCGTCCCAATGATCCCCTCTCAGAATTCCCACTCAGCTCCGACTTCAAGTCATCAATCAAATCCTGGATGGCCAGGAGAGGAGAAAGTAGTTGGCAGTGGCACAGCCTTGGAGGACAGAAGGAACTGAGCTGCTCACCGCTTCTCTTCAGGCTCCAACCCTCCTCGCATCGACAGTGCTCTCAACTGAACAGGAACAAAACAACTTTGGTCAGGTAAAGTCTCTGCCGACCTTTCTCTGGTGGAGGCTGGGTCGTCTTTCGCTTTTCACCAAGTGACACAACCACGTTCACATCTCTGCAGAGCACCTACCCTGCCAGGAGTGCTCTTGTAGGTGATCAGAACTTGCTGACGTTGGCGAACATTGAGTTTGGTCAAGATCTCGATGACGGCACCTTCATCCGTGCCTGCAAGAAACAAATGGAAGCTGGTCAGGCTGCCTGCACAAGAATCAAAGTGCCCTCTGCTCTTGTGCCACCTCCAGGCCCCTACACAGCCGGCTCTCAACAGCCCCAGGACTCCATCTGTGCACACAAAGCTGCCAGGACCACACCACCAGAGCAGCTGCATTTTGGGACATGAAGGGCACTTCTGCTTCCACTGCCCAATGATTTTTAGGGCAGTTGTGCAGCAGAGCAATGCAAGCAGCTACGCTTCCCTCTAACAAACCACCATTTATGCTGCAGCTATTCCCAGTGCTGGGGAAAAAATAAAAGTTGGCCCGTGGAGGGAAGGAGATCAACTTACTTTGGGGATGAGTGGTTGGATGATTGTGAAGAGGAAAGGGACCTGGGGGTATTGGTTGATGCTCAGCTGAACATGAGCCGACAGTGTGCCCAGGTGGCCAAGAGGGCCAATGGCATCCTGGCCTTCATTAGAAATAGTGTGGCCAGCAGGAGCAGAGAGGTGATCATCCCCCTGTACTCAGCACTGGTGAGGCCGCACCTCGAGTGCTGTGTTCAGTTTTGGGTCCCTCACTACAGGAAAGACATTGAGGCCCTGGAACGTGTCCAGAGAAGGGCAACGAAACTGGTGAGGGGTCTGGAGCACAAGGCTGATGAGGAGCGGCTGAGAGAGCTGGGATTGTTCAGTCTGCAGAAGAGGAGCTCAGGGGAGGCCTCATAGCACTCTACAGCTTCCTGAAGGGAGGTTGTGGTGCAAAAGGGTCTGGCCACTTCTCCCAGGCAAATAGTAGGACCCGAGGAAACGGCCAGAAGTTGTACCAGAGGAGGTTTAGGTTGGATATTAGGAGAAACTTTTTCTGTCAAAGGGTGGTCAGGCACTGGAATGGCTGCCCAGGGAGGTGGTGGAGTCGCCATCCCTGGCAGTGTTCAAGAGGTGCCTGGATGAGGAGCTACGAGATGTGGTTTAGTAGCTTGTGGTACTAATAGGAATGGGAGGGGGGTTGGACTGGATGATCTTGCAGGTCGTTTCCAACCTTGTGATTCTGTGATTCTGTGATTACCAAAGCCCTTCATGGCCTTCCTGAGTGCCTGCGCTTCTTGCTCAGCGCTGAAACTTGAGACCCCTTGATTGTTGCCTGAGGCCACAAGGAAAAGATTCAGCAAAGGCAGTGTATGGGAACTGCTGAGTCACGGCCTGAACCTCTGATTAATCACCTGAGGTGAGCCTTGAGTCAGCCAGAGGAGCACAGGTGAAGGCAATTCACCTGTGCTGCCGGCTCCACCCCTCCTGGACCTATTTAAGAGCTGGCTACCAGAGGGGAAGGATCTCTTCTGGAGATCCCCTCTTTTGGTATCTTCTGGTGAGCTCAACCCAAG